GTACAGTTGCGGACCTGCGCCTTTTTCGCCGAGCCCTGAAGGCCCATCTATTGTGTGCGGCCGGCCTGGCGTAGTTTGATTATGTTTTAGTGGGGGTTTTGTATGGGGTACTTTTAGAGCAGGCCTGTTATTTAATTTGATTTTAGAACAGTAACTTGTGTATATTTATCGTGGTTTTTATTATCGCCTGTTCACCGCCCTGAGTTCCGTAAGGGAGATAGGGCGGTATATAAATTCAATAAATAATAATAATAATAATAATAATAATAATAATAATAATAATAATAATAATAATAATAATAATAATAATAATAATAATAATAATAATAATAATACAAAGAGGGACCCAGCCAAGCATTCAAATCTCCTAGTAATACCACTATGGATTGAGGGTACAATACAGATATGTCTTCTAGAATAACTTCCAAGCCCATCCAACATTCAGAGTTATAATACCGGGATGTGATTGGTGGGATATACACATTTACCAGTATTAACTCAAACTTTTCATATTCAAATTTAACAGCTAGGAAGTACGAATACTTACCTTCATTATATAGTTTCTCCCCCCGCCATTGCAACTCTTGCTTTATAACAGTGGTTCTCAACCTTCCTAATGCCGCGACCCTTTAATACAGTTCCTCACGTTGTGGTGACCCCCAACCCCCCATCCAGCTGGCTGGGGAGGGGGGGCAGGAAGGCCGCTCCGCCGGCTCCACCCAGCCTGGTTGGAGAAGCACCATTCCTCTCCCTCTTTCTCTCTCTCTTTCTTCTATCTCTTTCTCTCTTTCCTCTCTTTCTCTTTCCTCTCTCTCTTCTCTCTCTTTCCTCTTTCTCTTTCTCTCTCTCTTTTCTCCCTCTTTCTCTCTTTCCTCTCTTTTTCTGTTTCTCTCTTTCCTCTCTCTTTCCTCTTTCCTCTTTCTCTCTTTCCTCTCTTTCTCTCTTTCCCCTCTTTCTCTTTCCTCTCTCTCTCTTCTTTTTCTCTCTCTTTCCTCTCTCTCTTCTCTCTATCCCTCTTTTCTCTCTCTTTCCCTCTTTTCTCTTTTTCTCTTTCCTCTCCCCGTTTCTCTCTTTCCTCTCTCTCTTTCTCTCTCTCTCTTTATCTCGCTCTTTCTCTCTCTCTTTCCTCTCTTTTTCTCTCTTTCTCTTTCTCTTACCTCTATCTCTTTCTCTCTCTCTCTTTCCTCTCTTTTTCTCTCTTTCTCTTTCCTCTCTCTCTTTCTCTTTCTCTCTTTCCTCTCTTTTTCTCTCTTTCTCTTTCTCTCTTTCCTCTCTCTTTTCCTCTGTTTCTCTCTCTTTCCTCTCTCTCTTATGGCAGCATCGTTGGGGGTCCCCGCCGCCCCCGGCCCAGCCTCCACTGCGTCCTCAGCCTAACAGGCGGGGAGGGGTGGCAGGACAGGAGGCAGTGGCTCCGGCGGCGGTGGCCACTGCTGCATCATCGGGGGTCCCCGCCACCCCCAGCCCGGCTGCCGCCCCCGCCAGGACTCTGTGCTGCCCGGCCTCGTCCTCCATCCATCAATGGAGCCACGGTGGGGGCTGGTGCCACGCGGCCCGCCAGCCCCTCCGCCAGCTCGGCTGCTCCCCCCAGGCACCCCTCTTCCTCCCGGCACCCGCCCGAGCCACCCAGGGGACAGCAGGAGGAAGAAGGAGAGGAGGAGGGCGAGAAAACCGCTGCCGCCATCCCAGCCGGGACTCCGCGCTGCCCGGCCTCACCTTCTGCCCATCCGATGGAGCCGCGGTGGGGGCTGGTGCCGCGTGGACCACTAGCCCCTCCGCCAGCCCAGCTGCTCCCCCCAGGCACCCCTCTTGCCCTGGTGCCCGCCTGAGCCACCTTGGGGGCAGCAGGAGGAAGAACGGGAGGAGGAAGAGGATGGCAAGGAAGCCGCTGCCAGCACTGGGTTCCAGGAGGCGGCTCTCCTCTCCTACCTTTGCTGAATCTCCTTCTTCCTTCCCAGCAGCCTGGACTCCGGCGCGCCTTCCTGGACAGTGGGTCCAATGGTTGGGTTGGCTGGGGATCACAGGGGCTGGTCTCCCTTGGGCCATGGCTTTCGGGAGGGCTGTCCCACTCAGCAGAGCCTCCAGCGGGCCGCTCCCAGCAGGGATCCTGGGGCTTCCCCGGGTGGCTCCAAGGCCACGAGGCCCTGGCCGCGCTTCTCCCAGGGGGTGGGGCACCCGGACGCAGGGCCAATCAGGAGCCCTACAGGAGGTACATCTGCCTGAGAGAGAGAGAGAGAAGGGGAGCAAAAGTGCCTCCCTGTCTCTCTCTCTGTAAATGGCGGAGGAGGCCGTGTGGAGACGGATGTGGAGCCGTGTCTCGGTTCCTAAGACCATCGGAAATATGTCTTTTCCAATGGTCTTAGGCAACCCCTGTGAAAGGGTCGTTCGACCCCCAAAAGGGTCGTGACTCACAGGTTGAGAACCGCTGCTTTATAAGAATGGATAGCCCAGCAGAGGGTCTCCCTTTGTTCTTTGTTTTTTGGGCTGGGGAGGCCCATCCCTGAAAACCTGGCAGTTTTACTGGTTCATCCACTTCGTTAACCAGGTTTCTTGAAGGGCTATTACATCAAATCTAGGGAGAAAGCTCATTAGACCACTATCAACTATCCCTTTCCAGCCAGCTACATTCCAAGTCATCATCTGTATGGGCTTTTCAGAGGCAAGGTGGTCTGGCTTGGTTGATTGGCTAGATGGTTAAAAATGCCAGATGTCAACTTTACATTGGAGCCAGGTCGATATCATCTATGCTTCACATATAAACACAGTTGTTGTGAGGTTTGGTATTTCTTCTCGTGGGTTGCAGAACTTGTTGTTGCTCCTTTATATCTCGATTGCCAGTGTGCCCTTGCTCCAGGAATAATTTTTTTTCAAATGGGCAGGTACTCCAGCTTAAATCTATAAATGTAGATTTATGTCCATTTTTGGAGGGGCTAGCTGAGAATTCATCTTGTAGGGAGATGTTGTGGGAACATCTAAGTCAAATGAGGATGGAAGATGGATTATATCCTTAGTGTTTGTCGGCTTAGGAGGCACTGTGTGATGAAGCCCTTTGTCTTTCAGTTGTTTCTCAGAGACAGGGTCAGTCAGTGCAGTTACCCCACTGTCTGCCTATGTGACGCTACCTTTTTTACTATTGAGGTAAAGGCAGATTGTTGATTAAATATATTGTCACAAGGTTGCACGATTAGTGGAGTCAAATTAAATAGAGGCTTTGCTATAAATTGAGTTGTTCTCAGTGCCTCTTTTAGGTCATCCAATCTTTGAATGATATTAACTTGCTCAGGTTCCGGCAGTGCACTGAATAGATCAATCAGCATTTCTTCTGGCACATCTTCAACAGTTCCTGCAGCTGTGGGTAACGCCGTTTGTATATCACTCATTTGTCTTCTCAGGGTCAATTCAGTTGCAGCAGCCTCAGGCTTAGCAGTGTAAGGGCTGTTGCAGCCTGGATTTAAAGCAACAGTTCCCTCTTGGTGACGCTGTTTCAGGAGTGAGCACACTTTGTCTGAGCGAAAAACCCTTATTGGGAATATTGAAAAGGTACTGAGAAAGGGCTTCATTTTAAAGAGCATGGAGGGAATTGTGGGCTGCTTAAACGATAGGAGAATGCTCATATATTGCCTTCTTGCTGGCAGCCATTCTGCATGCAGGAGATCTATCAGAGTGAGTTCACAGCGAAGCAGCTGGCTCAGGGACAGCTTAACAGCTTCTCTATTACCCCAACACCCTCTGTTCACTATCTTGTCATAAGTTTGTAAGATAACCCGGTTAGTCTGCAGACTGTAGTTATATTGGTCATCTCTTAAGCCTTTACCTGACTGGATGTTTTCTCTATGAGTGTTCAGATTTTTGGAAGGAAGACAAGGGCCTTCTCTAGTTTCATTTTCTGAATTAGCCATCCCATGTCTATCTGTGGTTGTCCTCCCACGTCCTTCTGCAGTACTTGGCTGGATCCTAACAAACTTTACAAAAGATTATTTCAAGCAGTCAACCTTATTTATGACAGTTGATAAGAGTTCATATATTGAGTTAACAGTTTGAGCCGTGAGCAAACATTGTCTAGAGAGGAAATCTGTCACATTTTCCCCCTTTAAATTTATTACATCTCCCTCCTGTGCAAAGAGGGCCGCTGCTGAGTTCCAAGAAGGGGAGCAACTCTCTGAGGAGGAGGACAATTCTACATGCTGTTTGCTTTCCAGTTCGGTTTGTAAGTCCCATTCCAATGAGTCACATAAATTAAATTTATCTGATAAGGCGACTGCAGAAGAATTACTTACTGGAACAGACTGTCTGTTCACAGTGTAATCTTCCATTTGCTGTTGCTTCAGTGGCTTGGATGAACTCTCTGCTGCAGAGTGCTGTCTCTTTCTCCTTTTCCCCATCCTTAGTAATCCTGGCTTGTAGAATTGTTAAAATGTAGGTTAAAAAAAGGTGGCCTCTCCAGTAGTTAAAAAGAATTAAAAGTAGGTTAAAAGTGGGTAGATTAAAAATGCAATGTTAAAAAGGTTAAAAAGTTAAAATAAAAATAAGAGAAAATAAAAGAAGGCTTTTGCTTTTGGAGGAGTTCCTTACAGCCTTTGCTGCCTGTCCACCATCTTGGCTCCACCCCCCTCAGAGCCAGCAGGGAAAGTCTCTACTCCCATTCCCTGGAATCCCTTTCCGATGGCGAAGGCAGACCAAGATGGACCTTCAGCTTGCCCACAAGGAGAACCACCGTCCTCTTTTGTGGAAATGGATGCGTGTGTGCACATTTGCACCCCCAGCATCCTAAGTCAAGAGAGAGGAGCCCAGTGCTGCTCAGAGTCCCCAGAGATTGACCCCAAAAGGAAATGGCTGTGCTTGATGGGGAAGAGGAAGAGGTAGGATCCAGCTCCAGCTGGCAACATCTCATCTGGATGTGTGGAGACATTTTGGGTCCTGAAAGGCCCAGAAATGGGATCTTGCTTGATCTGTGATTCCAATTCCAGGGGAATTTCTCAGCCTTGGGATCTTCTATTTTGCAGAAAAACCTGGGGTCTGCCGCAAGGCCCCTCCAGGCACGATCACTATTTGTCCTGTGTTGTGTGGAAGTGACTGGAAATGCCCCGGGAAGCAGAAGTGTTGCACTTATGCTTGCAAGACCGACTGCATGGACCCTGTCTAAGGTAACACTGATATAGGTTTGCTTAGGTTCGGGGTCTTCAAACTCTCTTGTCCATCAAAAGCACAGCTAATGTGAAAAAGGAAGTTGGTGGAATCTTCACACAGCAAGCATGAATATCACCCTTTGTATGGAGGGCACGGTGGGGCCCTTCTTCCTGATAGATATCCAACCCCACCCCACTTTGTGGAAGCCACTAGATTGACCCTCCAGGCTCTCCTCTGTGGAAGCTACGAGACTGACCCTCCAGGCTCTCCTTGTGTCCAGGTAGAGTTGATGTAGAAAAAGGAAGGTGTCATGATGCTAAAGCAGAACCTTGGGGTCCTGAGGCCCTTCCTCCTCAGACATATCCACCCCCACTCTGTGGAAGCCCCCAGGTGATCCTCCACATCCCCCTCCTACTGTCTCTTGACTTCTCCTCCTCCTGAACCTCCATTGAGAGGACAGGGGTCCCCAGTTCAGCTGCTGCTGGGCAGTGTGTTGAAGAAGATGGTCCTCCTGCCAGCCTGGTTAGGAAGCCAGAAGGTCCCAGGCAAGGAGGACTTCCAGGAGGAGGAGAGGTTGGGACACAACCCCTTGCCCACTTTGGTCCAGCTCATCCTCTGGGCAGACCAGAACTGGTCCATGCTCAGGTGACAGGAAGGTCCATAGCTTCATCTTCTTCTTGTGCCATATCCGTTATCGGACATTGGCGATCATGTTGGCGATCCTGTTTTTATCACCAAAACCAAGTTCACATTTCTGGCTGTAAGAAATGTTCCCTGTCTGAATTAGACAACTCATGTGAACATGTCTATGCATTTCACCTTGAGGTCTCCTGGAAAGAAAAGATGTGAAAAAAAGACTGCAGGTCATCTAGTCCACTCTCCTTCCAGTGCAGAAACCCTCAGAGCATCCTGGAGAGATTCTGTCTCACCTTTCCTTGAAACCCTCAGTGATGGAGCCCCATAACTCCAGTGGGGAGGCTGCCCCCTTGCTTCCCATCTCTCCCAATCAGCACATTCTTCCTCTGTGATTTTAAGATTAGGCAGGGTAAAGTTCCCGGGCAGCATCGGACGCAATTCTGGGCAGAAACCTCACATCTGAATGTTTGTTTTTACAGCATCACCAACGAGGAGACCTACCTGAATTGGGCCTAATTCACCAACTTCCTGGAGAGACCCTTCTTCTGTCCTGGACCAGCCTGGAGACCCTCCCCCCAAAACCCACCCTGGTTTCATCCCTTCTTCTCTGCAATAAAGCATTGGATCCTGGCTTCCTTTTTGGTCTCAGATGGCTCCTTCTGTCCCTTTGGGGGTTTTCCCTCCCCTCCTTGACTTGTGTCCCCCCCCCATGTCAGAGGAAGAGGAGCCCCCGCTAGGCTGCTCATTGTTCCCTAATGTGGACATCTAGAGAGAATCCCCAGGGGAAGTCTCTCTCAGAGCCAGAAACCCCTGACCGATGGCATGAAATTTACCAACCTCGGAAGGATGGAAGGCTGAGTCAACCTTTAATCGATCAGGATCGAACTCCTGGCAGTGGGTAGAGTTTGCCTGAAGTGCTGCATTCTGTGCCAACAGGGCTCCTAATGAGGGTGTTTTCCCCTACTTAAAGAGGGCAACTGCGCATCTATCACGGGCAGTGCAAATTTGGTTCAGTGTTGTCAATATCTCACAGAGCTGGTCAAATCGAGGTTGTTTTGGTCAAGAAGCCATTGACCTCAGAGGGGCTGAAGTCCCCCATCTCAGGCAGTGGTGGGATTCAGCCAGTTCGCACCACTTCAGCAGAACCGGTAGCTAATTTTTTGTTGCCCAGGCCCAGAATAGAAGCCCAGAAGCGGCATCCACGCAGAGAACTGGTTGTTCACCTATTTGAATCCCACCACTGATCATATCTATCTATCTATCTATCTATCTATCTATCTATCTATCTATCTATCTATCTATCTATCTATCTATCTATCTATCTATCTATCTATCTATCTATCTATCATCTATCTATCTATCTATCTATCTATCTATCTATCTATCTATCTATCTATCTATCTATCTATCTATCTATCATCTATCTCAGATCCAGTGGTGGGATTCAGCCGGTTCGCACCACTTCGGCAGAACTGGTAGCTAATTTTTTGTTGCCCAGGCCCAGAATGGACTTCTGGAAGCAGAGAACTGGTTGTTCATCTATTTGAATCCCACCACTGATCTCAGCAGGTTACCCAGCTGGGAGAAAGAGTGCAAAGAAGAGCAACAAAGATGATAAAGCATCTGGAGATTAAATCACACGATGAATGGTTGAGGGAACTGGGAATGTCTAGCTTAATGAAAAGAAGGACTAGGAATGAGATGATAGCAATGTTCAATCTCTAAAGGGGTGCCACAAAGAAGAGGGGGTCAAATTATTCTCCAAAGCGCCCGAGGGCAGGACAAGAAGCAAGGGGTGGAAACTAACCAAGGAGAGAAGCAACCTGGAACTTAGGAGAAACTTCCTGTCAGTCAGAACAATCCACCAGTGAAACGGTTTCCCCCAGACGTTGTGGGTGCTCCATCACTGGAGGCTTCTAAGAAGAGACTGGAAAGCCATCTGTCTGGGATAAAATAAGGAGTCTTGCCTTGGGCAAGAAGTAGGATTAGAAGACATCTGAGCCGTTCCACTGATAAATTGTTCTCAGTGTCAGCTAATTTCTCCTTAGTTCTAGATTGGATCTCTCTTTAATAAGCTTCCAACTATTTCTTCTTCCATTGAGGCAATTTTGGATTTTATTTCCTTCTTCCAGAGGATTAACTTTCCCATGCAATCAATATACTCCCCCCCCTCTTCATCCAAGCATTCAGAGCTAAATTGAACAGAAGAGGACCCAGGAGAAACCCTTGTGGCCCCACCCTTGTTCTCTCCTGATGGATCCTGGGTGTTTTGAGAATCTGGTTTGCATATTACTCACGTTTCACTGCCATTCTTGGTAATGTCATCAGTGCAGGAAGATTGGCCCATTGATAGGAAGGGTTGGTACACAGCAGCTTCTCCTACCTGCTTGGGGTAATTTTTTTTGTTCCTTGTTCCTTTATCTGCCCTTGCTCCTCCTTAACCAGGCTTGGTTATAGGATTGGGGGGGTGAGGGAGGGGCACTCTGGGCTGATTAGGGCAGCCAGAAGACCCAACTGAAATTCCTAAATTTCACAAGACAGAGAGAACTTCAGCTGTACTGAGAGATGGAACATGATTTGGATTAAGCAAAGTTTGAGAATTCAGAATTCCTACAGCTTATTGCATATCAATAATCCTCATTGATACTGAACATTAAAAAATGCTTGGATTTTACTAGTGTCATAGTTCCGACAGATGAAACTCTTCAAAGAACTTCGAGGCATTGTTTACCTTAAAGAATCTTTATTAGAGAAGCATGATATCGGCACTAACACAGTCGAAGCCAAAAACTAGATTCCCCTCCCCTGAGCACATAGTATCAAAGCACAATTCCCTCCTCCAATTAACTGTCATAAATCACATTCTCCAATTAGTTTGAAATGCAGGCTTTCCCTCCAGTTCTTCAGCCCGCCAATTCTTATCATCTCTTATTTCAATAACCTTGGTTCTCACGCTAGGTCCAGTATTGTTATGTCTATCCAAACTCTCATGCACCTTCCTACCCCTCCCCACATCATTATCTAACTCTAGCTCTAACTCTAAGAGTAAAACATAAGAAGAAAATGGTTGCATCTCTAACTGTTGTCAAAGCAAAAACATCCGATGTTAGCAGCATTGACAACTAGATTGCAACTGGGGTGGCAGGGCTGCTCAATTGCAATTCCAATGTGGGGATGGAGGCTGGGTTGGCCTCGTTGAGTAAACCTGGCAAAGAGAGAACAATTCGATCTTACAGAAATGATCTGCAGGGTCCCTTCCAATGGATCACATTTCATTTGTATAGAAAAGGAATGTCAAAGAGATCAGTTTCAGGGAGATGTGATAAAGATAACGCTTCTGTAAAACACATGTTTTTACAATGTCCTGATAGGAGAGAATATTTGTAGTGTAGGGTTGAGAGCATGCTCTTTGGTGCTCCCTGAGCTGGTTGGTTTTCTTGCAGACGTTTCATGACCCAACTAGGTGACATCATCAGTATTAGAAGAGAGGGGGGTCTTGTGGAGAGGAGAATGGAGGAGGAGCAGGAGGAGCAGGAGGAGCAGGAGGACTGTGGGGTCCTTGGTGCTCTTTGAGCTTGGTGGTCTCCTTGCAGACATTTCATTACCCAACCAAGGAATATAATCAGTGGTAGAAGGGAATGGGGTTTGTGGACTAGAGAATAGGGAAGGAAGAGGAGGAGGAGGAGGAGGAGGAGGAGGAATGGGAGGGGGAGGAGGAAGAGGAAGAGGACAACTGTGGGGTTCTTGGTGCTCCCTGAGCTTGGCTGTTTTCTTCCAGACATTTCATTTCTTCCAGGTAACATTTGTGGAGAGGAGGAGGAGGAGGAGGAGGAGGAGGAGGAGGAGAATTGTGAAATGTCAAGGTTCCCACCGACAGAAACAAGTAAATCAGAAATCTGGAGGCGAGCAAATTCCTCAAAAAACATATTTATTGTTACAGAGTACCAGCACAATCAAAAGTGAAACCAAGTCTGGAATATCAATAACAAACTCTCCATTACAAAGTATACAGTTTCCACCCCCAAAACTATGCAATATACCATGTTCCACCAATAAACGCAGTTGGCAGGCTTTTGTGCTCTACACCCGTACCTGAATGTGGGAGCAATAGAGGACCTTGGTTCCCACGGGACAGCAAATTTGAATTTCACCGAACATGCCTTGACTATCTGGCGTACCGGATTTCGGATGAGGGCATAGAGATGGATCATGCCAAAGTGAAGGTGATACTGGAATGGTCACCCCCCCCACGCAGCCGAAAACTGCTCCAAAGCTTTCTGGCGTTTGCTAACTTTTACCGGCAATTTATCCCCTTTTTCACAAAAATAGCCATGCCGATCACTGATCTACTCAAAACAGAAAAAAGGGGGGAACCCCGACCTTGTCAGCCATTGCAGTGGTCGCTAAAATGCCAGACTGCGTTAAATTAAACCAAGCACCTGGGCAAATCTCCCTCCCTCCATTCCATGTGGCAACTTCAAATGAAGGGGAAAATGGCTGCAGTCAGGCTCACTTGAAAAGATAATAATAATAATAATAATAATAATAATAATAATGATGATGATGATGATGATGATGATGATGATGATGATGATGATGATGATGATGATGATGATGGAAGGTCATCTAGTCCAACCCCCCCAATATCCCCCTGGAAGGCTGCTATCATGTCCCCCCTCGTCCTTCTCTTTGTTAAACTAGACCAGTGGTTCTCAACCTTTTTAATGCCGTGACCCCAACCGGTCGTAAGTCGAGGACTAAACCGGTCGTAAGTCGAGGACTAAACCGGTCGTAAGTCGAGGACTACCCAACCGGTCATAAGTCGAGGACTTTCCCTGCCCGGGAGCGCCACACATGCGTGGTTCCGCCCCCTGCGCCGGCCGAGGCGTAGCTGGCAAGTGGCAGAGACGGAGCAGGCTGACCACCAGCTGGCCCAGCCCAAGGGAGGTAAGGCACCCGCCGGAAAAGGGAAGAAAATGGCGGAGAAAAAAAATGGCGGACAGCCTTGCTTGGTGACCCCCATGAAATGGTCAATCAACCCCAAATGGGGTCCCGACCCACAGGTTGAGAACCACTGAACTAGACAGACCCAATTCCAGCAACCATTCCTTATATATGTTTTAGCCTCCAGTCCCCTGATCATCTTTCTTGCTCTCCTCTGCACTCTTTCTAGAGTCTCAACATCCTTTTTTACATCGTGGTGACCAAAACTGGATGCAGTATTACAAGTGTGGCCTTACTAAGGCCTTGTAAAGTGGTATTAACACTTCACGTGATCTTGATTCTATCCCTCTGTTAATGCAGCCCAGCACTGTGTTGGCCTTTTTGGCAGCTGCAGCACACGGCTGGCTCATATTTAGGTGATTGTCCACTAGGACTCCGAGATCTGATGTTGTCACTCTCGCCCAAGGTTCCAACAATTTCAACTCCCTCTATCACTTCCCCTCTGTTAGTAAGAATTAGGTCTAGTATGGTTTTCCTCAAGTTCCCTCCTTTATTTCTACCTGTGTCCCAGATCTGCTTACTCAAGTATTACTTTCTTCTGCCGGCAGGTGGCAACAGCTGCCCAGATGTTTGTGCTCAGTTTCTCAGGAAATTTCCCCCCCCCCGTCCTTCCAAATGGTCTGTCCCAGCAAGCCCTTCCCTGCATGGTGAAGGCAAATGGTCAGTCCTGATTTGAGGACATCCTTGCTCTGCTCTTAGTGTTCCTCTTTACACAAGTCCTTGTGCAATAAGCTGAACAAACCACCTCGTTCAAGGTTGTGGTCACACAGATCCTCCTCAAAGTACTCTTGGCAGCTGTGTTTGCAGCTGTGTTGAAGAGCCCTTCCAGCCAGCGAGAGTTGGAGGCTTCTCACTTCCTCCTGGGAAAACATAGAACATCAGAGTTGGAAGGGACCTTGGAGGTCTTCTAGTCCGACCCCCTGCTCAAGCAGGAGAACCTCTACCATTCTGGACAAATGGCTGTCCAGTCTCTTCTTAAAAAGTTCCAGCAATGAAGCACCTACAATTTTGTTCATTCTGAGCCTTTGCATTTCTAACTTCATCTTTGCAGATTCAGGCTATCTGCTGATATTCTGCCTTATGTATCATCTCACTGATTTTTCTGACATTTCTTCTAACTTTTGGAATCTCTCTTTAGTGATCTTCCATCCGTTACTTCTTGTAATGAAGTAATTTTGGAATTTCTTTCTTTCTTTCTTTCTTTCTTTCTTTCTTTTCTTTATTTATTTATTTCTCTTTCTTTTCCTCTTTCTCTCTCTTTCTGAAGGGATTTTATTATGCTGAAGCTTGATATTAGTAATATTGATATTAGTAGTGATACTTTGTAATCATTATATATATTTTCAAAATTTTGGATTGCTGACAAAGAATTAAGCCATTTCAAACTGTTTAGTTCTTTTCAACCAGACATACCCTTCTGAGATTCGAACCTGGGCTGTCTGCATGTTATATATATATATATCAAGCAGCTTTCTAAGTGCTTTAGATTGGGAAATTAGTTATATAAAAGCAAATGTTTCATGCTTTAGGTACAGGTGATTGCTTACATGAAAAGAGCACCGTAAGGGGAGGGGGGAAAGGAGTTACGGATGGAGCCTGGGTTGCTGTGTATGAGTCATCATCTAGGACAGTGATGGCGAACCTTTTAGAGACCGAGTGCCCAAACTGCAACCCAAAACCCACTTATGCATCGTCGAGTGCCGGGTGGGCGTGGCCCATTGGGTGGGCGTGGATGCTATGGTAACGGCAGACTGGGTGGGACTAAAAAGTTCAATCAATTCCAACTTTGCAAGATCTTTTTTTTCCCCGCGAGAAGTTGAAATTGACTGATTTAACCTTCTTTTTTTTTTTGTACACGGTGGAGGCCTAAAGCGGAAAGGTTTTATAAAACCCAGCTGAAGGCCTAGGACTGGGGCAACGGCACGCGTGCCCACAGAGAGGGCTCAGAGTGCCACCTCTGGCACCCGTGCCATAGGTTCGCCACCATGGATCTAGGAATTGGTTTTTTTTTTTTTGTGCCATCTTATGTCTGGTACCAAGACCTGATCTTTTTGTTCTGCAAAGGAATAAAAAGTGGAAGACATCTTTCCCGGCTGTTGCCTTCATCTCTCTACCAGCCATGAAGAGAGACGGGGTCACCCAACTCTATTTTGATCAAAATAAAAGTTGTTTGCTTGCTGAAACCTCGACTCAGGAGTTTCTTTGGCTCTTTTAAATTCCTGAGTAACGCTGGGGCAGTTGTGAGGCTAAGTGGAAAAACCCTAATTTTTTTTCCTCTTTCTTTCCTTCTCACGCAATCAACGTGTATCAACTCTTGATCTCACCGGGTGGATCCTTGGTGTTCTGAGAACTTGGTTTGCATATTGCTCACGTTGCGTTGCCATTCTTGCCATCACTGCATCAAGACTGGTCTATGAACAGGAAGGGTTGCTACACAGTAGCTTCTCCTACCTGCTTGGGATATTTTTTTTTATTCCTTGTTCTTTTGTCTGTCCTTGCTCCTCCTTAACCAGGGTTGGTGAATAGATGGGTGGTGAGGGAGGGGCACCCTGGCATGATCAGCCTCCTCTAATGCCAATTGGAAGGCCCAACGGAAAATCCTTAAGTTTCACAAGACAGAGAGAACTTCAACCGCCCTGGGAGATGGGTTTGGATTAGGCAAGGTCGGGGAATTCAGAAGTTCTTCCATAGCAATAAGCCTCACCGATACCAAATATGAAAATCAGCAGTCAAACAACAATTGCTTGGATTTGGCAAGGTTGCAATGCATCTGGTAGAGCTGCTCAGTTGCAGTCCCAATGTGGGGAATGGAAGCTGGGTTGAGTAAATCCGGCAATATTTGTAGCCCCGTGTTGAACTGTGGGGTCCTTGGTGCTCTCTCAGCTTGGTGCTTTTCTTGCACACCTTTCATTACACAACTAGCTAACCTCATCAGCGCTAGAAGAAAGGGGGAGGGGGAGGAGGAAGACTGTGGTGTCCTTGGTGCTCTTGCACACCTTTCATTACACAGCTAGCTAACCTCATCAGGAGAAGGAGGAGGAGGAGGAGGACTGTGGGGACCTGGATGCTCTCTGAGCTTGGTTGTTTTCTTGCAGATGTTTCATTACTCTAGGGAACAATGGACTGGAACAGGACAATAGGGACCTGCCTAGCTTCCCCAAAACTGGCCAGCCAATCCAACTTTTGGGATTCCCCATCTCTTGTCCAACCACCTTGTGAAAGAGGAAAGAATTCAGATTCTCACTGCATTACGTCATCCTGCTTCCTGGATCTGCAGGGGTGAAATTCCCAGTGGGGAGAATAAATAGACCGAGCATCCCGGGTGTGAGGCAGACGGCATCATCATGTCTTCTGGAGGTGTTCTGCTCCTGCTGGGACTCCTCACCCTCTGGGCAGAGCTGACCCCTGTCTCCGGCAAGGGCCGTCCAGGTGAGTTTCCAGAACGACCTTGAAACCCTTTGCAGGAAGGGGCTGACGTGGTCAGAGGGCAGAGTTCTCCCCCAGGGAGGGAAAACCAAGAGCCCCAGTCTAGAACCTCTGGCTTGGTGGTCCCTCTTCTGGGAAGGTTCTTGAGATGGTAGTTGGGTGTCAGCTGAAGAGGAGACAGAAATGGGAGGGGCCCCCAAGAAAGAGAAATGCAATTTCAGGGGAAGGCTGACCTATCTCAATTCAATGCAACAGCAGAATCAGGATTTTAAGCAACAGGATCCACCATTCATCTATCTGGTCCAAACCCCAGAGCAGGAAATTAAAGTAAAATGTCCTAGATGGCTCCCCATTGTTTGCAATCTGAGCATGTTAGGAGGGCACCTGGTTGGGGAAGTGCGTTAAAGACTTTTTCCTAGCTAATAATAACATCACCCTCTCCATATTTCACAGAGCTTTGCTATCTTCCTTATAAAACGGAGCCATGTAATGTCAATATGCGGGCCTTCTACTACAACTCGACTTTAGACAAATGCGAAGAGCTTACTTATGGTGAATGCCCCGGCAATGCCAATAATTTTACAACCAAAGATAAATGTCGCTACACCTGTGTTGGTAAGTAGGGAAGGAGCTGTGGACAGACTCTTCCAATACAAGATAATTTATGTAGCTCAAGGTTGAACTGTGGGTTCCTTGGTGCTCTCTGAACTTGGTGGTTTTCTTGAAGATGTTTCATGAACCAACTAGGGAATATCGTCAGTACTAGAAGGGAGTGGAATTTGCTGGGAGGAGGAGGAGGAAGATAAGAAGGGGAGGAGGAGGAGGAGGAGGAGGGGAGGAGGAGGAGGAGGAGGAGGAGGAGGAGGAGAAGAAGGGGAGGAAGAGGAGGAGGAGGAGGAGGAAGACTGTGGGGCATACTGTCTAAGAATAGAATAGAATACAATAGAATAGAATAGAATAGAATAACAGAGTTGGAAGCAACCCTGGAGGTCTTCTAGTCCAACCCCTTGCTCAAGCAGGAGACCCTATACCGGGGTAGGCAACCTTGGCTCTTTTATGACTCATGGACTTCAACTCCCAGAATTCCTGAGCCAGCCATGCTGAGGGGAAAAGGAGAGGTTTCCATACATGCACGAGTCATGAGGGGGCCATAGTTCCCCCATGCTGGCTCAGGAATTCTGGGAGTTGAAGTCCACGAGTCATAAAAGAGCCAAGGTTGCCTACCCCTGACCTATACCATCTCAATCAGGGGATTGTCCAGTCTCTTTTTAAAAACCTCCAGTGATGGAGCGCCCACGATTTCTGGAGGTGACTTCTGTTCCACTGGTTGATTGTCCTCACTGTCGGGAAGTTTCTCTTGATTGTTTCCTTGCAGATGTTAGGGACCTCTTCAGAGCAACTGTATGTAGGGTTTCCTCCTGGTTTATATACTGCACTTTGTCCTGGAAGTCTTGATCAGGATGCTTTTTTCTTCTTGACAACTCCTTGATTGGGGAATTATTTTCTGTGTGGTTGTTTGTCCCTACTCATGTGCTTGTTGACATGGATACTCCACCCTCCCCTTTCTGGAAATATCAAAGAGCCATCTCTGTCTAAGTCCAGGTCTGTGTGCCAAGTGTCCCCTCTCAGAACTTCCACCCCACTTCCTGAAAGTCCTCTGCGTTTAGCCTAAGAACCTCAGGGTAACCTCCAGAAGACCCCAGGAAAGAGGAGGTCCAGAGGCAGAGTGCTATTTTTTCCCCTCTGTTTTGCGGGGAAGGGGTTGCAGGTGTTGTGATTCCGTGATCCCGGTAGTTGAGTCTGGGGAATCAGAGGAGGAGGAGGAGGAGGAGGGGCCTGGAGAGCCATCAGAGTCAGAGGGAGGCTCTGATGAGTGCAGGACTTACAAACTAATGAAGAGGCTGGTCCTTCCACTCGTGATCAAGCTGAAAACCAGCTGTGCTGGGAAGCTGAATTGGACTTGGAGGAAGCACAGCTGGAAGACCTCAGAGATGCTCGTAAACGTAGGCAGGTCACACGAGTAGGACAGAGGGAGGCAATGGGGTGACTCCAGGGGAAGAGGAGAAAGCAGTGAGAAGCCATGCCTTGGGGGCTGCGTAACAAAAAGGGAATGTGTGGGCAGAGTGCTATATTTCCCCTCTGTTTTGGGGGGAAGGGGCTGCAGGGATGTGCAGAGTCAGGAGAGAATGTCTCTGCCTCCCATTCCCTGGAATCCCTTCCGGATGGGGAAGGTAGACTGAGATGCACGTTCAGCACACCCACAAGGAGAACCTCCTTCCTCTTTGGTAGAAGTGGGAGGTGCACGTTCCCCTTCCCAGGTCAAGAGAGAGGAGCCCAGTTATAAAGTCCAGCTCAGGGTCCCGAGAGGCTGACCCAAAAAGGAAATGGCTCTGCTTGGTGGGGAAGGAGGTTGGGAGGTGGGATCCTGCTCCACCTGGCTCATCTGGATGTACGGAGATGTTTTGGCTCCTGAAAGGCTCGGAAAAAGGGATCTTGCTTGATCTGGGATTCCAATTCTGGAGGAATCTCTCAGCCTTGGGATCTTCTATTTTGCAGAAAAGCCTGGAGTGTGTCCCCAGCGCCCTCATCAACCGGGCCAGGGAGGCAAGCCAGTTTGTCGCGAGGATTGTAAAAACGACTGGGGATGTCCTGGGAAGCAGAAGTGTTGCCGTTACGGATGCCTGGCTGAGTGCAAGAATGCCGTCCTTGAGAAGTTTGGTAGGTGCCGCACATTGTCACTTGTGCAGTTTGCTCAGCGCAACGGAACGGCTGTGGGGCGTCTCCTCGGTCCAGACGTGCTCTGGGCACCTGCAGGTTTCTCTGGGGTCTCTCAGGCTCTCCTCCTGTCCATCAAAGTGGAGCAGATGTAAAAAAAAAAAAAAAGGAAGGTGCCCTGATGTTGCAGCAGACCTTGGCGTGGTGCGGTGGGTCCCTTCTTCCTGATAGGTACCCCACCCTCACTCTGTGGGAGCCATGAGACTGACCCTCCACGTCCCCCTCCCACTGTCACTTGACCTCTTCTCCTCCTGAACCTCCTTTGGGAGAACGCCCTCCCCCATTCCAGATGCTGCTGGGCAGTGTGTTGGAGAAGATGGTCCTCCTGCCAGCCTGGTCAGGAAGCCAGAAGGTCCCAGGCAAGGAGGACTTCCAGGAGGAGGAGAGGCCAGGACAGAACCCCTTGTCCACTTTGGTCCAGCTCATCCTCTGGGCAGACCAGAACTGGTCCATGCCCAGGTGACAGGAAGGTCCACCATAGCTTTGCCTTGAGGTCTCCTGGAAAGAGAGGATTGAGAAAGGACACTGGAGGTCATCTAGTCCATCCTCTTTCCAGTACAGAAATCCTCAGAGATTCTGTCCCACCTTTGCTTGAAACCTTCAGCCCCATAACTCCAGTGGGGAGGCAGCCCCATTGCTTCCCTTCTCTCCCAATCAGGCCATTCCCCCTGATTGCAGGCCGGGGTCTCCGTGGCTGAAAGATTCGGCAGGGTGAAGCCCTGGAGGGAATCGTGGGCAGAAACCTCACGTCTGAATGTTTGTTTTTACAGCGTCACCCACGAGGAGACCCACCCGAATTGGATCCAGTGTTCCAACTTGAATCAAAGAGCCTTCTTCCGTCCTGAACCACCCTGGAGACCCTCCCCCCAAAACCCACCCCGGGTCCATTCCTTCTGTTCTGCAATAAAGCATTGGCTTCAACTGATCTCTTGGTCTCAGGTGTCTTCTTTGTCCCCTTTGGGGGTTTTCCCTCCCCACCTCGACCCGTGTCCCCTCCCCAGTTCCCCAGGGTGGCCTTCCAGAGGGAATCCGCAGGGGAAACACCTCTCGGAGCCAGAAATCCCTGCCTGATGGACAGAAACTCAGTCCCCAGGAAGGACTTACTCCAGAGTAAATCTGGAGTGGACACAGGGACTCTGCTGTCCTGCGGTGGCTCCACACGGATGGTCTGGCTGGAGGCCATGAGGCCAATCAGGGAAAGTTTTTTGCCTTTATTTGAATTAAGCAGAAGGGGGGGCGGGGGGGAGCAGGAAGAAAACTGGAAAACAAAACATAATCTTAGGAAAAAATCTTTGCTACGGGAGGGTTTCTCATGCATGTAGGTACGTGACTGTTTTAAACATTAATCTGTATAGCTGTCCACAAAAAAATCTCCTTTGCCAGGAAGGAAGGAAGGAAAGAAGGAAGGAAGGAAGGAAGGAAGGAAGGAAGGAAGGAAGGAAGGAAGGAAGGAAGGAAGGAAGGAAGGAAGGAAGGCTATTGAAAGCCAAGCCAAGCCAGGCGTAATGCTGAAGCCAACAGTTGGGCTGGGACCACTCAGCTATCTAGACTGACCTCAGACAAGCCTTCTTTCTCAGCCCAGACTCCCCCACAGGGCTGTTGTGAAGAGAAGAGCTGAATCCAATTCCTGCAGACGGCGATATATATCTATACATTCCTGATGATATAAATCTATCCAGAGTAAATAAATACCTTTATTTCTCTTGCTTTACATTCCAAACGGAAACCCGAGCATTGCCTTGTTCTGCCAGCAGGTGACAACCGCTGCCCAGGTGTTTGTGCTCAGATGCTCAGGAAAATTCCCCCCTCCCTCCTTCCAAATGGTCTGTCCCAACAAGCCCTTCCTTGCACATCCAAGGCAAAGGGTCAGTCCTGATTCGAGGCTATCCTGACTCTGCTCTTTACGCAAATCCCCGTGCAACAAGGCTGCGGTCACACAGATCCTCCTCTGATGCAGCTGTGTTTGCAGCTGCGTTGAAGAGCCCGTCCAGCCAGCGAGAGTTGGAGGCTTCTCACCTCTTCCTGGGAAAAGATAGAACATCAGAGTTGGAAGGGACCTTGGAGGTCTTCTAGTCCGACCCCCTGCTCAAGCGGGAAGCCCTACACCATTTCAGAGAACTCACAACACCAGAAATGGTGAGTGAGCGGGGGGGGGGGGTCAGACTAGATGACCTCCAATAACTCTGTTATTCTGTATTCTGTTCTGAATTCTGGAGGCAAGACATTCCATTGATTACTAATATTAATCATTAGTTGCTCTGTCAGAAAATTTCTCCTTAGTTCTAAGTTCTTCCATCCTAGTAATAATTATTATTATTATTATTATTACTTTAATTTATATCCCGCCCTTCTCCCGAAGGACTCAGGGCGGCTTACAGGCAATAAAAACGGAACTATACAATAAATATCTAAAAACAATTAAAATATATATTAAATAAGCCTGTTATTTTTAGAAAAGTTATAAAATCCCTATTAAAATCCCTATACAATCCCCCCCCTAGGC